CTGGAGCGGCGCTCGCGGGACCGGGAGCGCGGGCGCGTGGCCACGGTGCGCTCGGCGGCCAGGAAAGCAGGGCCGGTGGCATAGTAGCCTTGGACGGGCGGCGGGCGAGCGATGACACGGGGCGGCGGCGGCGACGCTTCCTTGTTGCGACGGAAGACCCGGACGTCGATCTCGTCCTCGTCGTCGTAGTCGCCGCGATGATATCTGCTCATGGTGGGCGAGTAAACGGAAACGGGGGATGGGTCTTGGTCGACAAAAAGATGGCAGTGTTCGTATCGGTAGAGGCTGTACCTCGTTGCAAGAGATGGTGTTCCTCCTCGGACAACGACAACAAGAGAAGAAGACAAAAAAAAATATCCAAAAAACGATGCAGGACGTAGTCAGAAGCGCGCGTGCTACGCTTTAATCGGGATTGTCAGACGTGGGCGATAGGCCGAGGAGAGGAAAATATAAAAGAGGGGGGGTGGTCCTCTTTGCTGTTAATAGGAAAAGAGGGGCGAAGGTAAACAAGACTAACAAAAGGCGCGATAGTAAATAAAGTGGGAGGCGGGAAAGTGGACAGTAACCACAGAAAAAGTCTGGAGCGAAAAAGAAGAGTGAAAAAAGAGGAGAAGAAGAGAAGAAAAAGCAAATGTCAGGATGCAGGCAAAATTTGACACACACTACGACATCAGAGGGGACTGGGACGGGGGAAGGAAGGACGGAGGAAATCGAGGACAAGGGAAGGAGGGGACGAGGGGTGGGCAGAACGAGGGAAGGAAGGCTGGGAGGCGGGGTGGATGCGGCGCAACTGCCCCATTTATTATCGTCAAGCGGGCAAGCACGATCGGAGGCTTTGCAGCAAGAGGGCAGGGCCTGCAGCACATAGGGCAGGAGGTGCAGCAGCGTGGCAGTTGGAAGTGCGGAAAGTGGAAACAGAGAGGGATGGGAGCAGACGGTGCATATGCGATCGATGTACAAAGTGGGAAAGTGCAGACAGTTTGGCGCATTCATGTGCCACCTGGCAAGGCCTGGTATTAGGAAAGAGCACATGAGGAGCCCACGGAGAAAGTGAAGGCGCATCTTACAGCGGGCGGGAATATTCTTACGGGGGCGAAAGTGGCAGATGGGAAGGTGCGAGGGGGTCACCGAAGGCGGCGGCAATGCAGAGGGGCAGAAGAGGAAGGAAGAAAACAGAGACTGTGTGTAGGCCGCTCCTGCTAAGGCGGGACATGACGGCTTCATAGGTCTTGGCGGAAGGATCACACACCTGCTCTTAGCAATGGAAGGATGCGCGGGCGGAAAGAGCAGTGCATCTTCGTACCCGACTAACAGACACGCAAATGGATAGACCAGACAAACAGATACACAGCGAGAGACGACTCCGTTTGGGGGGGCTCGTATCAGAAGTGTGCAGGGTGCGTAACAGAGCTGAACGGCTAGGCGGCAGGAGAGGCGCAGAGGCAGAGGCAGAGGCAGAGGAAGATGATGGGGGCCCCTTTTCATTTTCTGTTTCTGCCGGTTGTCTACTCCCTCTAAGGCCTTTCTTGCAAGTGACTTTTGGCGGACGGCAACAATCTGCAACACGGCTTATTGCATGGCAATCTAGAAGCCGAAAGGCGACAAAAAGAGCCTCTGCACTCAACAAGGTGCATAAGATTTTTATTTGCTGATGCCACTGCCGTGACAACTGCGAAATGGTCAAGGGCGGCGGCGAAGTGGGACGACGTGCATACGAACGGCTTCGGCTGGCCTTGGCCAGGCCTTGGAAGTCTACATGGCGAGCCTGTGAGTCGTCGAGGTGCTTGTACGTAGTCTATAAAGGTGGAGGGGACTAGCCAAGACACGGCGACGAAGGAGGGACAGGTGACCAGACCACACGATAAGGTTGTGGGTTGAGCGACGCTGTCCTCGTGGGCAGCGTGGCTGGGCAGGTGCCTTTAGCAACAGCAGCAGCAAGGAAAGACTAATAGTTCACTAGGGGCCGAGTGCACAGAAGAGAAAAACAGAGGGCCAAACAGACAGACAGCAGAGGAGAAGTGGGCGGGATGACGAGTAAGGAGGGCGGCTCTTCGCTTGCATCGATTCAGGGAGCGCGATGATGATGGGGTGGAGGGGACACGACGGCGGAAGAGCAAGGAAAGACGGCTCGCTGAAGCATGCTGGTTAGCAGGAGGCTTGAGCCGACGGGCAGTCCGGTTGTCGTGGCTGGGCCGGAAGAGGCAAAAGGAGAAAAACAGAAGGAATATAAAAATAAAAATAAGTGACTGTAAAACGTCACCAAACATGGTTGCAGGTGCATATTTGCTGCAGTCCAAGGTGGGGGGGGGGGGAGGGGGGGAACGTCAGCAAAGAGTACTCCAGACCAGGGCCTGGGTTTGTGGGTGACGTTATTGGGGCGTTCCCAAAGACGACACATCTTCTGTTATTTACTTGCAGGGATGCGGCGACATGGAGGGGGTTGGAGTGGGTGGTTGAGAACGGACAAGGACCAGCTGTGGACGAGATCATCCTGGCGTAATCTGGTATCATACCAATAGCACATGCTGGGCTTGAACTAATGTGGATGCAAAAGTCGAGTCGAAATCGTGATGCGTGATGCCCCAACGTCTAGGATGTGGGAAATTACGATGCAGTCGCAAGTCCGTGTTTCGAAACGCTGGGGCCACATCAGAATGGTCGAATGGTCAGAATGGGACAGGAGGGGCACGGCGGTAGGGCTGATGGGGGGCTGCGGCTGATGTGCATGCAGACGAAGTCAGTGGCCTGTGAGTGGTGTGCGAACGATGTTTGAATTACCTTCAACTGTATCAACTGTTTTCTTACTTTGTTTCTTTTTCATCTTTTATTTCCTTGTCTGAACCTTTTTAGTTGACTCTGCCGTAAAAGCACACTAATTCGGACCGTCCCTTTTCATACATTCCTGCCTCGTAACCGCTCGCTTTGTCTCAACACCACTAGTTTTTTCTAAAGATCGTTCCCACATGTAGGATGAGTTCCCAGTTGCATTGCCGTTGCTGCAAACAGCGCCTTATCACTGTATCCCAGACGACTGCCTGGGCAAGAAGCCGAACGAATCCTTTCTGTTTCACCGCACCTTGTCCAACCAACAAATGGAAAAAGACCGACAGGGCCTGAGGGCATAGCCAGACCCTACCACGCCGCTTCCGTCACATCAAATGTCATTTATATGGAGACAAGACATCATCCGTCAAACCGTCAAATAGCGTGGGCCAAAGGCTCGTCTATGCCGCTGATGCAGGCCGCCGTCCCTGTATGCAAAAGACATGTGCGTCGTACACCGTACCCTGCATTGTCCTCCTGGCCGCCGAGAGCCTCATGTGATGAACCGACATGGTATCCGTTTTCCATTCTGTATCCTTTTCAACCTTTTGACACCGTCCCGCTGTGTCCCCTTGTATCCCTTTCTCTCATAACGGGCTCGCTCTGGCCTCCACCGGCTGTATCTCCGGACTGGGCCTTGGGACAGTTGGTGATGATGGCGTGCACAGGTAGCGAACGGAGACATACTCTCCCGTTTCTACCACCGAGCTGGTGAGGCAGGCGAGTCGTCTGTATAAAGGTATCCTGTATACGGTAGTGAGAAAAGGTTGGCACTTGATGATGCAGGTCGGCCGCATGGCGTCACGTGTCGAAACGGGCCCTCTATCATCGTGCCGAACGTTCAGAGGTAGGTTTCGCCTTCGTCTCGGCCTGCCGTTCATTTGTCTCCCATCATTATGGGCCACCCTTCACCACCACCACTACACTATGCCGACTCTCCGCCGCCCCGCCGCAGAATCTGCGCAATGTGGTCCTGGCTGTTCTTGGCCGTCGTCTCCAGGTAGTGCAGCCGCTTGCCCAGGCCCTCCACATCCGTCTCGAGCGTCTTGATCTGCTTGCCGAGCTTGTCGTTGAGCGACGCCACGGGCTCCGCCACAAACATCTTGCCGACGCCCTCGTAGACGGCCGTCGATGCCGGCAGCGACTCCATCTCCTTGAGGGTGAGCTGAGCCAGGCGCATCTCGCGCTGCTTGCCGGCGACCTGGGAACGCGCAATGGTGATTTGCTGCTGCGCCTGGACGGCCTGGGTCTCGATCTCGTGGACGAGCTGTTGAAAGAAAAACACAAAAAGGGAGAGGGTTAGCTGCGGTAGGGTGTATGCTTCGCTTTTCTGTTGGATCATACCTTTTGGAGGGCCTCGTTGGAGAGCGACATGTCGGCGGCGGCGAGAAGCACGTGGACAATGGCAATTCGGAGCAAACGAGTCGAGAAGTGAGGAGCGGCAGGTCGGGAACGGAGAGAGTGGAGAAAGAGAGATTGAGGTCGTCGTCGAGGCAGGGGTCGGAAAGAAGCTGTTTGTCGAAGAGGCCCCCTTTTTGAAGCTATGGCGGGAGAGCTTCGCGAATAAACCCCGCCAAATGGGTTTCGGTGATGCCTGCCCTGAACAGTCAGCAAAATTCAACGCCAACCAAGCCCCACCAAATTCTGTAGGCCATTGCGCTAGTACGGTGCGGCAAAAGTCAAGTAACAAAGTGCCGAAGTAACAACAGATGGCATGGCCATGAACGAGACACACCAGCTTCCGAGAGTTTTCGTAACTTGCTCATGTTCCGTTCCAGACACAGTCTACTTCTCAGACAGGACTCCAGCCATCTCGCAGGCGTGTCTCACACTGCGTGACATGTTGAAAAATGGCATAAAATGCGTCTCTTGCCTTCATCGCCTCGCTTATTCGAACTTGGCATCTTATTTCCAACATCTTGCTGCTTAACAACAAGCAGACCTCATCTACAAACATCTAAAAACGTCTGTCTATTCTCTAAAACAAAGCTCCAAGCAAAAAACTCCTATGCAAAATTATATACCCAAGAACAGAACGCCGGGCTGTCAGAGAGCTCCAAAAAAGAATAAGTGTGGCCAAAACAGAATATAGATCAAAGTCTGCCTCATGGCAGTGGGATATATAGACCTTCACAGTTGCTTGTGGTCTGTCAAATAGTAGGGGCCATCGTGTTGGCTTAATCGAGACGGCGTCCCTTATACGCGGCGTCAGACGGTTCAATGTCCGACACAGGCACAACCCGTGGAATCGAAGTCAGGGCTGTCTTCCACTGCAGCGCAAACTCGTCCTCCTTGCCGTCCAGGCACGTATGCAGCCACAGACGCCACATGATGAAGTAGTACGCTGTGAATTGGTTAGTCAAAAGTCAAGAAGAGAGGGGGGGGGGGGGGGAGGAGACGGTTTGCTTCCCAAGTGAACGTACATCCTATGCATCAGTTAGTACGTGGTCGACAGGCAAGACAGACAGAGGTAGAGAGGGAGAGGAAGAACGTACCGAGTCCAGTAAGAATATGCCACCACGCATGACCCTCGAGCACGACCGCCCACGGCAGCAGCAAGATGTCACGCCACGAGCGCAGGTACAGACAGAAGATGTTGTCCATGTTCCAGATGAAGAAGCCGACCAAAAACAGTGCAATGCCCGATAGACACATCTTCCACATCTGCCGCATGAGGCCGCTCTCGCGCTCAGGGCTCCGAATCTTGAGGGCTGGGCGCAGCGTCTTCTCCATGTCGTACATGCTGCGGAACACGACGGCAATCGTCAGGCAGGCAAACGAGACCTGGTGGAACACGGGCTCTTTGGTGACGTGGTAGACGACGGTGATGAGCAGGCCCAGACTGAAAAGGCCAAGGCCAATCAGTTTGGAGACGGTAGGTGATTTGCCGTAGGAAAACGTGGCGTGGCCGATGATGCACGTGGCATAGATCATGGGCAGTTCGTCGGCGAGTTGCATCGAGTCTGGGGGGTGAGCATAAGACGTCACAAAAAAGCAGTCAAATAGACAGTGAAGGCGAGAGGGAGGGAGCGAGATCTTGCACCCACATTTTAATGTCGTGTGGAAGGCTATGGAGCCGAGACCGACGACAATGTAGCCGATGCAGGCCACGACAAAGACGGGCCGGTGCCGGAACCGAATGCAGTCGCGAATGCCTCGGATGCCCAGCCATATGAACATGAGATTGGTTATGCTGTTGACGAACTCGGCGCAGTAGTATGTGATGTTGTAGTCCTGTTACATCCAGGGTTCGAAGTCAGTAGCTGTCGTCGTGTCGCACAGGATTGCGAACCCTGTTCGATAACGGGGCCGTTCCACAGGGTACAGGAAGTTGTGCCAAGACCTGGACCGTGCCGGATGCGGCCACTGCGCCAGGAACCCTCCAACTCGCAGACAAGGCGCAATGCAACATCGATCGAATGGAAGGCAAAGATCGCTCTCGGAACAAATTGACTCGGAAACGCACCTCTTCACACCAGTTGAGCGTCGACGTCTGCTCGCCCCAGATGCCGTGACGGGATTCCCGGTACGGGATCTGCAGAAAGGAACCCATGGCGTGGGTGGGCGAATGGTGATGGGGGACGGTAGCTTGAGACGGGAGACCGGCGAATGGCGATCAGAGGATTCGGAGCTGTGCAGAAGAGTGTCAGCAAGATGTGTACACTCAAAGGCGGCGCGGCCCAACAAAAATAACCAAAAATGCTGCGTAAATGTAAAGTAGCAAGAAATATGCAGTAGAGATGCTGTGACGAGAAGAGGTGACGTTGATGCGCGCACATTGGCGGTGGCAACGTCCAGAAATGGATACGTGGAGCTGGGAGGGCAAAGCTTGTGAAGAATGCGACGTTGGGCCAGGCCCAATCACGACACCGTCGTGTGGTAGTGGCCAGAGCTTGGGGTGGCAGGCTTAACTAAGCTCGAGACAGCAGCCACAGTTATGAGAGGGCAGCAGCTCCATGTGGGTGGCCCTTTGCCAGATGTGGGAATGCACGTGTATTTTGTTACTCACCAAGAGAAAATCGCAGGAAAGAAGGACCGATGACCGAGTTCCGATTTCAAAAGGATGAGGCGGCGCGGGGGCTGGAACGCTGAGGAAGCACTTGCCGGGGTTCGGGTCGAGATGAAGAGCCTCCGGCGGTCCGGGAAAGAACGAGCGAAGCAGAAACGAAGGGCAAGCGCAAAAAGAAGGAGCAACAACAAGGAAAGACACAATCTGCTGGCTTTGAGGAAAGAACAACACGGGATCCAAAAAAAAAAAAAGGAGGAGGAGAGAAAGAAACGGACCGGACAGGGAAGGAGATGGGGGCTGCACAGATACAAGCTTCGCGGAGTATCCTCTTTCCTATTTTTGTCGACTTTTCGAACATACTTTTACACTATTGGATTCTCTCTTCGATTTGACAAATCCACATCGACTCTCTCCTGCAACAACGTCCCAGTCTGGTTGTGTCGTCGCAGGTAATGCACTGCTCGGCGCTGACTGAAGCGTGCACATTCCGCTGGAATGGGGCGCTTGTCCTCGCCCCGACCTATCCGGCCGGACGCTACAGCAGTTCTTCTGCGGGATGGCGACTCCAGGCGGCTCTAGGCGGCTCTAGGCAGCTTTAAGGGACCACTGCTTGATGACTTGCGATTTTGGGGTCTCGCCAGCGTCAGGAACGAAGGGCGACGAGCTGGAGCGTGTCTTCCTCCACTGGAATGGAGCTTTGAAGAGCAGAGCTTGTCAGACCATTGCTCTTGCCGTGTCTCTGAACTAGCCTCGTTTCGGCAAGTACAGTGCGTGCGCGGTCGCTGACTTACTGTGTCCAGGTCTCGTCTCGCCTGAGCAAGTTCTTAACTCAAATGTGCCTTGTTCAGGGCAAGAGCAATGCGTGTGCAACGCGCAACGAGTGGACCCACCAGCGTCAGCCTGAGCGCCACGGTTGGCGCCCTGTCCCAACGTTCTTCATTGGTGAACTTTCGTACTTTCGTATTGCTGCAGAGTGCAGGCATAACACGACACCACCCACACGACGCCGCCTCAGCACGTCTTAGAGCAAACCCCATGTGCCCCAGTGCCTCGTAATCGCAACGTCTCCAGATATCTGGGTCCACGCCATGATTGAACTATCGACGTGCTCCATTCTGAACCTTTCTTCCACCAAAACAGAAGAGACGACGAGCAAACGGGAAAGGGGACCCAGCTAGACGACAATCGACACGGCCATCGACGACGAGACCGGCATATCTCAAGATACATCATTCAATAGGGACTCTCACGTCAGCTTCATTGGTCTTGGCTGAAGGCTCCACTCGACTGCATGCTGTGCACCTCCTCGACATCCTTCCCTCACGACCAATGCTCTCGCCATCAAGCAGAAAGCAAAGATTGACGAACCCCTAACGACCCTTCTCGTCGACAACTCGACGGTCGAGGAGGATCACACACAGACGACAACTCCCTCCTCCCGCCCATTTGCGCCATGGCGTCGTCCACGCCTGCCAAGGGCGGCAGCGGCACACGATGGGGCTCGCTGCTGTCCCAGGCGGTAGCTGGAGTCGAGGCCCGTCTGGATACGATCCTGTCCGATGCGGACGACTCGACCAAGCCACAGGAGCAGAAGCCTCCAGCGAAGCCAGCAGCCCCAGCAAAACCAAGTGCGTCACCTCCCTCAAGCTGGTGTGCCTGCCGTCATCACTTTGAATTCCTTCATGGATGCCCGTACTAATTTGCCCTAGACACAGCACGATCCGGCTCGTCGAACCGCGCAAACGACCGCCTACAAGAACGGCTGGCACGAGCCGTGGCTGCCAAGAGCGGCGCACCATCACCAAGCCTGGGCAGCTCTGCAGCATCTGCCTCGGCGGCCAACAGCCCACGACAAAGCCTCGATGTACCGAGCCGAGCATCGATTGATAGCACCGCGAGCGGCTCAAAGGATGCCCCAGCGGGTGACGCGGCCGCAGCCCGCAAGTCTACCGACGGCAGCAAACGGCCATCGTTCGAGGCGAGTACCGAAATAAAAGACGAAATAAAGGCCGAGGCAGCAGCGACAAATGGAGACGGGGCAGCAGCAACAGACGAGGCTAGGGCATCGCCAGAATCGAGCACCGCCACGACGAATCATGAGTCGAACGACAATGCAGCCGCACCATCGACACCAAACCCGATGACAACACTAACAACAACGGCAGCCGATGCCGCATCCACATCAGCGGATGATACGACCGTTGCTGCAAACCAATCCACAGCGGCCAGTGCTGCTGCCCTCGACGCGGTCCGCGAGTCGCGTATCAAGCAGCTCGAGGCCGAGCTGCTCGAGCAACGACGCCAGCACCAAGACGAGATCCACCACCACACCGAAAAGACGGAAATGCTGCAGGCCAAGGTGCAGTACCTCGCCAGCGAGGCCGCCGAGGCCGCCAAGAAGGCGGTCGCCGATGCTGCGCCGGGCAGCCTCGAGAAGAAGGTGGCCGAACAGGACCAAAAAATTGCGCAGATCATGCTAGAAGGCAAGAACCTGAGCGTCATGGAGGAGAAGCACCGGGCGATCCTCAAGAAGCTGCGCGTCAAGATCAGCGACGACGAAAAGGAGATTGCCGAGTTTAAGACGGCGCGGACCAAAACCGAGGGCGAGCTGCAGACGCTGCGGGCGCGGGCACGGCGCGCCGCCGAGCTCGAGCGGGCGCAAGAGGAGGGCCTCAAGCGGCTAAGCCAGGTGCACAAGGAGCTCGAGGGCCTGCGGTCCGACGCCGTGTCCAAGGACGCCACGATTGCGGACCTGCGGCAGCAATTGAAGACGGCCAACGAGCACGCCGAGGCGACAAAGATCGCGATCAACGATGCGGCCCTCGAAAAGGAGCGCCAGCGCGTCAAGGAGCTCGAAGAACAGGTGGCCACGGCGCAGCTCGAAAAGTCGCTGGCGGCCGACCGCGCCAAGGCGCAGATCAAAGAGTGGCAGGAAAAGGCGGACAAGGCGGCGGAGCGCACGCGCACGGTCGAGCAGGAGCTGCAGAACGAGCTGCAGCTTATGGAGAGCAAGCTGGAGGCGATGCGCGGCCGCGCGGAGGAGGCGTCGTCGGGCGCGACCGGCGACTCGCACGCGAAGCTGATGCGGCAGGTCGAGACGCTGCAGTCGCAGTACTCGATTGCCAGCGACAACTGGCAAGGCATTGAGACGACGCTGCTGGCGCGCGTGTCCAACCTCGAAAAGGAGCGCGACGAGGCGCTGCAGCGGGAGTCGGAGATGCGCAAGAAGGCGCGCGAAGCAGCTCTCCGGGCCAAGCGCAACGAAGAAGACCTCGAAGAGGCACGGTTCAAGCTGCCCAAGGCGCACGAACACGCCGGGGCGTACGAGGCGCAGATCGAGGCCCTGAAGAAGCGGGCCGAGGAGGCCGAGGCCGCGCGCGACCAGCTCAAGACGGAGCTCGACGAGGCCGTGCAGCAAAAGGCGGCGGCGTGGAAGGAGGACAAGCACCACCACGGCGAGCGCGACAGGCGTGGCGACGCCAACGACCGCGGCAACTGGCTCGAGAGCCTGCCCAACATCCAGGGCCTGCCGCCCATGTCGCCGGTGCCACCACAGCTGCGCGGCAGCAGCAGCCGGCCCGAGACGCCGCTGCTGCCCAACCCGTCGCGCACCTGGAGCTCTGAGCTGCTGGGCTTCCAGGGCCTGCCGAACAAGCTGCGCAAAGCGTCGGCGCCCTCGAGCCAAGACGACCCAACCGAGCGCTTCTCGCTGCGCAGGCCCTCGGGCCAGCCCCCCGGCAACCGACCGCTCTCGAGTTTGCTTGGCAGCGGCAGCAACAGCGGCGGCGGCCTGCCGCTTGTGTTCAGCCCCACGACCGAGACGGGTCCAGGAGGCGGCGGGTCGCTGACGTCGTCGGTTTACCATCAACCGCGCCACGCGTCCGTCGTCCACTCCAGTTCTGGCGGCGGTGGTGGTGGCGGCGGTGGCGGCGCCAGCACCACGGCCGGCAACAGCACGACGCACACGACGGTCGACCAGGACGACCCCCTCGAGGGCATGGAGCGCTCGGCGTCGCCGCAGCAGGCGTTGATGCAGGACATGGTGTCTGTGTCGACCGTGGCCGCGGGCCCGTCGGTGCAGCTCGTCGAGCGGATGAGCGCCGCGATCCGGCGGCTCGAGAGCGAAAAGGTCGCGGCGCGCGAAGAGCTGGCGCGCATCTCCAAGCAGCGCAACGAGGCGCGGGCCGAGGTGCTGCAGCTGATCAAGGACACGGAGAGCGGGCGGGCCGCGGTGGCGCGCGTGACGGAGCTCGAAGCGCAGGTGGGCGACCTGCAGGCGCGGTACGACACGACGCTGGAGCTGCTGGGCGAGAAGAGCGAGCTGGTGGAGGAGCTGCGGGCCGACGTGCAGGACGTCAAGGCCATGTACCGCGACCTCGTCGAGCGGACAGTCCAGTAGGCTGCCGTCTGTGGGCTGTGCTTGCGTGGTGCCTCTCTTTCATTGTCGCCGTTCCTCGTCGTGTCCTCTTCCTTTCTCCTCTTTTCTCCTTTCTCCTTCTCCTCCTTTCTCGTCTTCTTCTCTTCTTTTACAACACCATGCAATTAGAAGCATAGATGCATGGGCCTTTGGCCATTTCTTCAGCATTCGTCATTTTTTCACCCCTATATTCGTTGTCCTATTATTTCACCATCTTCTTCTTCCCTGTCACCATCTTCGTCCTTTTTTCCGCATCTTGTATGCACATTCTTTGTATATATGTACAACATTAGCGTTCGCGCGAGCTGGGCACGTCGGCCTCATGAAGCGGCCCTGCCCCTTGTTTTTTCTTTGCCTTTTTCTCTGGTTAGAATCGATCACATTATCCTTCTATTCTGTTTCGTTCAATCTGGCCTCCATTGCAAAGTAGGGTATCTTTCGTGCTATGTGTATCATACGTCATTGCAACGGCATATGCTGTTTCGTCATCTAGATCATGATGGCTTCTCGTTTTCGTCGCCTTCGCCGCCGCCTCCGTTTCTGCCACCTGCGAACAAGTCCATGCCCAGCCCGTCCAGGAAGCTGTCTGCCTGTTTCTTGGCCTTCCGCTCCGCCAAAGCCGCCCGCCGTGCCGCCATCTCTTGTTTTCGCGCTTCCAGCTGTGCGCTTCGCTCTGCCCGCGCCGCCTCCGTCTTGGCCCGCTCGTCGGCCAGCGCCTGCATCTGCTCGGCTCGCTTCTTCTCGTCGTCCGTTGCAAAGGCATAGAAAGCAGCACCCCGGGTGCGCACATCGTCCTGCGGGCGGTAGTGTGTGTCAGCGGGAGCGTCCTCCTCGTCCGTTCGCAGCGGACGCGGCGGCAGTTGGTCGGCCGCCGACTCGATGGCCTCGGTCTGGATGACGTCGCCAAAGATGAGGCGCGATGCGTCGGGGGGCGGCGCGGGTCGCGCACGCATGTCTGCCAGGTCTTGTGCAGCTCGCCGCGCGCGTTCTTGGCGGCGCAGGTCGCGTTCGCGGCGGGCTTTGGAGACGGTGCGCGTGCGGCCAAATTCGTCGACGTACTCGACCATTGTGGTGTCGTCGCTGTCTTTGTTGTCGTCGGTATCGCCCTCGTCCCTGTCCTCGTCGCCATCCTCGCTGCTATCGCTGCTATCGCTGCCATCGCTGTGACTGTCTCTGCGCCGCTTCTCGGCCCATTTCCGGTCAAAGTCAACGAGCGACGCCACCTCGCCCTCGCGCGGCAGGTAGTCGCCGCGCTGCATCTGGGCATACCGCTTGGCCTTGGCGGCCATGTTGCGGCGGATGCGCTCGCGCTCAGCCTCGTCGAGCTCGGCGTCGACTGCGCCTGGAGGCGGTCGCTTGTTCCAGGGCGCAATCTTGCTCTTGCTCTTGCTCTTGTCCTTCGTCTTGTGGTCGTCATCCAGTCCCGAGTCGGTCCTGCTCCTCTTGGACGGCGACGGAAATAATGGTACGTTCCTTCTCTTCTCCCCGCCGGCTGTCCCCGACCTGCTGGTGGCGCTGTTGCTGTCCTTCGCCTTTGGTTTTGCTGTGATGAGCGATTGCAGTTGGGACGCAAAGTCGAGCGTGTTGGACAGGCCCAGCTCTGTCTTCTTCTTCTTGGCCGTCCGTTGGCCGTATAGGTCAGGATCTTGCGGCATGGTGGGCGTACTTAAGCTGGCCCGAGGATGTGGAGGCGGTTGTGAGGATATTGTTGATTTGGTTGAAGTTGAGTAGAGGGTCGAGATACTGACTTTGGCTTTAGTGTGTTTTGGCCACTAACGATTAGTGGGTTTAGGCACTTTTCAGTGCATTCCCCCACACAATCATCTCGCCTTATCGATAAGAACCGACCAGAAAAAAAGTGTAGGCAATTCTGATCTTGACCAAGGCTTCATGGTCTCGATCACTACGTGCAACGACAGGATTTGGCTTCGTCTGTCTCGTCCTTCCGAAAATCCCACACCATGGCGAAACGATTAAAACGCGAGAGCTACCTGCTCACACAGAAGCAGCCGCGCGAGGACGGCTCGGCGCCAGAGCTGCCACAGAAGAAGTTTTATCGACAGCGCGCACATGCGAATCCCTTTTCGGACCACAACCTGGTGTAGTACGTGCCGCCTTCCGTACTTGTGTTCCCAGCTTCCCACTGACAGGTCTAGCCCCACGAGCCCCGAGGCGATGGACTGGCCGTCGCTCTATCCCGACTTCTTCCCCTCTAGCAACGAAGACGCCTCTTCGACCATAGCGACAACGACGACGACGACGACCCCCCGCGTCGAGGTCGCCGACATTGGCTGTGGCTTTGGCGGCCTGCTCATCGGCCTCGCGCCCGCCATGCCCTCGACGCTTGTCCTGGGGCTCGAGATCCGCGACCACGTCACCGAGTTTGTCCAGAACCGCATCCACGCCCTGCGCGCACAGAACCGCGAGGCCTCTGGCGCGTCGGACGCCGACGGCCAGCGCAAGTCCACCACGTACGCCAACATTGCCTGCGTGCGCGCCAACACGATGAAGTTCCTGCCCAACTTCTTCGCCAAGGGCCAGCTGCGCAAGATCTTCCTGTGCTTCCCCGACCCGCACTTCAAGGCCCGCAAGCACAAGGCGCGCATCGTGTCGCCGACGCTGGCGACCGAATATGCGTATGTGCTGCGGCCGGGCGAGGGGCGCGTGTACACCATCACTGACGTCGAGGACCTGCACAAGTGGATGGTCGGCCATTTTGCGGCGCATCCGTCGTTTGAGCGGGTGCCACCAGAAGAGGAGGCCGCCGGCGAAGACGAAGACGATGCGGCAGAGAAGGAGGGGGGAGGGGCGACGGGCGACCCGTGCGTGCGCATTATGCGGACGGCCACCGAGGAAGGAAAAAAGGTGTCGCGCAACGGTGGCCAAAAGTTTGTCGCCATTTTCCGGCGAATCTCCGACCCGCCATGGCCCGGCGAAAGCGGCGACGAGACAGAGACTTCGTAGTCGGTGGAGCAGAGGCAGACACAGGGTTTCTCAGCATTTATTCTTATGTACAACTGGGCGGTTTTATGTGTATATGTTCAAATGGAGTTTTGCTCTTGCGCTTCTCCGTTCGCTGCCTTTCAAAAATCATCAAGCCATATATCCTCATATCATATGCTCATATCATATCGTGGTCCTGTCCATCTTCTCGTCTTCCAGCTCATAGCAAGGAAAATGCATTGCTGGCACCGTCAAAGCCGGAAATCGACCCAATCAGCGGCTTCGAGTCACCATAGTACCGCAGCCGGTACGTCCCCGCGTCCGCCGTCGTCTCCGACTCCCAGCTAATCACGACATCGCTGTAGCCCAACAACGCGTTCGTGCGTGTCCAGGTGTACACCAGCGACCAGTCCTCGTCGTTGCGCACCTGCTCCCAGGTGCCCGCGCTGTTGAGCTGCTCGACGGCCGCAAACGTGCCCTCCAGGCGCAGGTTGTTGCGTGGGTTGGCGCCGACAAACGTTGCATTGATCACCTGGCCCTTGCTGTACGACTCAGCCGGCTGCGCAGTGACCTGGCCAAACGACTTGCCAATCGGCGCGGCATCAAAGACGACAGGCGCGATGAAGCTCAGCGATGTCTTGCGGTTGTCGGGCGGCGAGGGGCCGGCGGCCGGCGCACCCGTGGCATCGGGCGCCAAGTACTTCAGGTTGCTCACGGTCAGGTTGATGTAGGCGGGCAGCTCCCACTGGCCGTACAGTGTGCTAGCGCCCTCGTAGCGCTGGATGCTGTACTCTTCGGGCGTCGCGCAGTAGTGGGCATACACGTTGGCAGGGCCACCGAGCACGACGACGGGGTCGGCGCCGCCCTTGAGGAACGTCGCGGCCGCCTCGTCGCGCACGGCGTTGCGCCAGCGGCGGCCGGCCATGGTGGTGGCCTCGGACGGCGAGATGATGATGAGCAGCTGGCCAACGCGCAGGGCCTGCACGTCGACAATGTTGGGCGACCAGGCGTATGGCTCGTTCATCTCGCCCACGTCCAACAGAATCGGCTTAGGGTGCTGGCACGCCGCTTGCTGCGGTGTCGGAGTACGCAGCAGGTCCGACACAACCACCCACAACGGGTTCGCATTGGGTTTCCCGGAATCGGCCTGGGTGAAATCAAAGGCGCCGGGACCATCGGTCGTGCCGGCAGCAAACGAGTACCCGAGAGCAGCCGGACAGGTTTGCACCGAGGTTCCGTTGGGCAGCTGGAACTGGAAGAAGGACATGTCGTTGTAGAAGTGGTACGACTTGACAGTTGAGCCAACAACCGGTGTCGAGGACGTAGTGAGAGAATTCTGTAACGTTAGGCAATGTACAAAACAAAACAAAACCACGCGAAGGAGAACAACGGGAACCAGGCACCTACATAAATATTGAGAGCGCCGGCGTATTGACGACGGCCCATCTCGTAGCAGCTCGACACACCAAGATCGAGCTTCTGGAATTCAGGGCCGCGACCGTGGCACGACTCGGACTTGCCGTCGGCGCAGGTGCTGTTCTCGAAGCTGCACATCTGGCTCGAGCCGTCATCGCAATAGGCGCCGAGCACATTGGGCGTCGTGTCGCCAACGTTGGCCTGCGAGAAGCCTGCCACAAACCCAGGTGCGGCGTTGGGATCCGAAGCCATGTCTTTTTCAAAAAGATACGCGGCCACGCCCTTGTTGTCGCCCGTAACATGCGTGTTGTTCTCGAGCATCGACGTGCCGTGGACCGGGAACCACGACAGCACGCCAATGTTTTTAAGGTCGGATGCGCGCTGCAGGCGCACGAGCGTCATGGTCGTGTCGGTGCTGCCATCCGTGGCGCCGGCGTACTGGGCGCGCTCGGCAGCCGGGTTTGCCAGGTAGGCGTACAGACTGCGCGACAGGTTGCCGTCGGTAATGTTGGTGGTGCCAATGTCGAGGTAGCCCTCGGTCAGCGATGCGTGTGCGCGCTGGATGGCCAGCACGGCGCCCGTCACAATGGCCTGGTAGCTCTGCGTGCTGAACCCGAGGCTGGTCACCTGCGGCAGCAGGTAGTTGAACCAGGCGCCGGGGCCGCTGTGCTGGTGTGTGCCCGTCACGGCAATGTTGGACGTCCCGTACATGGAGTAGCCCGAGCCCAGAGCAGCGACGCCCTCAAGGATGCCGAGACGCACGGCGGCGTCGCCCGACTGCGCGTCCAGGACCAGGTATACAAAGCGGTCGGACGGGTTGCTGACGTCGCCAATGATGAAGGCGCGGGCGTAAAGCCGTTGGCGCAACCCCGTGCC